TATATATATATATATATATATATATATATATATATGTGTGTGTGTGTGTGTGTGTGTGTGTGTGTGTGTAAATTCAAACATAAAACTTATTACTTGTAAGAAAATAATCAGCATTAAATGTTCAACCAAACTGGAGAATGAGTTATTAACATAATTTTTAAATTAAAATAAATTTTTGTTCTATCAAATGATATATACGACGGATTCCAAAGACATATTGTCATATATATCATTAAATGGTATATCTGAAGGTTTTTTTTTTTTTGTCTTATGATCTTACGAAGCATCAAAGACATATTGTCATAACTGATGGGCTAACTGTCCTATCAACTTCGTTTGATCTAAACTACTTACCAAAATGCTTAAGCTGAAATTGATAATAGTATACTCATCAGACCTTTATAAGTCAATCTTAATATTACCCACTTTTGATATGAAACTAATCAGGATGTTACACATATAATTTTTGAAGACCTAAAATGTTCAATTATGGTATCCTTTCTTTCGAAAAACACAAAAACTAGAGTTTCTTTTGGCTTTAGAAGACTCATGAAAATAATGTTAAAGCTTGCAAGGTGAATTTAAGCTTCAAGCCTTGACCGCATTCACTGATCATAGATGAAGCATCCAAAACTTCACAGAAAGCTTTCCAGTGGCAGATTAACTCAAACATGTGTGTGCTATTACTATGTAAAGGTCTAATAGAACATCATTTCAAGTCTTTACATGCCTATATCCCTTCACAAATCTTACAGAATAATCCAATGAAGCATCCAAAGCTTTGTAAAATTTTCCAGCAGCAGAGAAATTTAAAGAAAAATTAGCCATTAATTTCACTGTTGTCTCGAAGATGGATTCCATATCAACTCAAAACATAAGAGAGCATGTCTCACGAGCATAACCATGCAAGATTGAGAATAAATCTACCTTCATATCTTAGTTGGATTCACCAATGATTTCTGCTGGAACACTTGGATTTCAGATGATATAACTAGGAACTGGGATCTACCATCTACAATTCAACCAAATGAAGTAAAGAAACCATTATTTCATATACATGAAAATTACCCACTCTTAAAAAGGCCTTGAGACAAGTACTTGAAAGATCTCACTCCAACGCCTTGATCGACATGGTCAGATCTAAAGTACTCGGCCCCAGAACGGCCTTCTTCTTGCTGCTACCTGTCCGTAAGAACTCCATTTCCGGCTTGTCTTCTTCGTGCTGCCCGGAAGCAGGGGGTGAAAGTGAAAGTGAAAGGGAGAGCACACAGTTCGCTTCTTCAGCTTCAGGTGGCTTCTTGTCATCGGCCCCGTCGTTTACCGAGTCCGATCCGAAGCTGAGTTGCAGGTTATGGCTCCAATCTCTCGCTGTAGTCATCCTGAGCCTCTTCACATCCGTCGGAGGAGCCTCTCGTCTGCCAAACACGTCTGCAAGGTTGGGCGTTGGTTTACTCGCTGGTTGCCTCTGTAGCTGCACCAGCAGGATCAGTTTTGTTTGCATATATGTTATTTTCTCGGCATTGAAGGATCAAAGAACACTACCTCAAGTCTAAATGGGTCGTCGAATTGGTGTTTGGTACTGTTGATGACAAACGGATCGTAGAGGTTCGATCGACTCTTGTTGTAGTCGTTGCTACTGCCCGCACATGCCACCACAGAACCAGTAGAGACTGGGTTCACAGGGACTCCCTTGACGAGGGGTCGAGTGCTACTCCCGATCCAATCGAAGCTTCCGATCCTGCTACCGATCTCCATTGTCTGAGCTCCATTTCTCTGGTCCAGCAACTGGTTCTCGGTTCTCGGGTTCCCTTTTCCGGTGACGGTATCCCTCACGTCGAACCAACGGGACGTGAATGCCTTGCCTTCCTTGTTGAGGATCATGTCATGTAAGGATCCCTTCGCAGGGCCTCGTTCGTTGAAGTAGCCATCTCTTGTCGCCCTTTGCTGGTTAAACGTCCACTCATGGAGCCTGCTTGAAAGGAGAAGGCAAATCTGAGGTTAGGAATTAGGGTTTTGAGAGCGAGGAGCAACATCCTTCTCGAAAGAGCATTCACTTCTGTAGGTACCCTAATCTGCTGGGCTTCAGCTCGAGTGGCTGCTGGTACTGTGGTGGCTGCAGAAGGTTGTAAAGACGGTCCGGTCCATGCATGCTCCTCGATGCGAAGTAGCCTCCATTCTCCATTCTGAAGGGCTGGTACGAAGCTGTTCTGTGATACAACATCTCATGAAGTCGATCACCTCTCCTCAAGTGCAAATCCATTGGCGATAGAACTGTGATAACGCAGCATGTGAATATTTGGCATTTACGAACGAGATTAGCCCAAGAAATCAGAGATGTCTCAGTTCTGAAAGGTCAAATCGGATTGCTACATGCGGATCATGGCTGCTAGATATGGGGAAGAAGTCTAATATACATGATAATATTAGACTCTGTGCCCTAACACTCTGATCTAAATTTTCCCAAGTAAAGCAAGAGTTAGATCAAAGGTAAACCTGAAGAAATTATGGACTTCTCTTTCCCGGAGTCGTCGAGCTTCTTGCTTCGGTACATCTGATTCAAACAAAGGAGTTGAAGGAATAATTAGAAAGATGGAGATAAAAGACTGCTCCTTTGTGTTCGTTTTCCTTTTCTCTTACCTGGAGATGGCTCTTTACATGAGCTATACTTAGCCCTCTCACATTCATCATCTGAAGAACCAACTTTGGAGTCGCCCCTGCAGCATCCAAAAGGTTAACATAATCATAAATAGCTTAATTTTACAGAAAAATGGAAGCTTAAAACCTACTAAAGATTGTAATTCTATTAATGAGGTAAAAACAAGAAAATGATGTCCATGAAATCCCATGACTAGTCCTTCAAGTTTTGCCCAAACACCGAACATGACAAGCGTACAAGTGATGGATGAAGATGCTAGGAAGGGGATTAAGGTGATATGGAAGAAGCATCTTACTGTCTTGCCCGCCGAGCCTCTCGACGGCATGAACAAACGAGAGGTGGAGATCCGGCGTCCATCGCAACCTCGGTGTTTTAGACCTGTTGTATTGCCTAACAGATGCCACCCGCTCGCTACTTCCCTCAGCAGTGTTGCCACCCTCGTTGATGTTGCTGTTGCCGTCGTTGTTGATGTTAGTGCTGCTATTGTTGCTGGAGCTCCCTCCTCCGGCCACCTCGGTAGTGCTTCCCCCATCATCGTCATCGCTTCCTTCCTCCTCTTCTTCATCGCTGCCTTCCGTCATCAGATCCTCGTTGAGGTCAAGTTCCTGCAATCCCCTCTTCCGGCTAGGCGATCGGTTACTTCCTGTGCTCCTCCCCTCACAGTTATCCTCAGCCTCGCAGATCACCACCACCTCCCCCTCTTCGCCCATATCTCTCTCCCCTCTCTTCTCCTTCTTTCTACACGACCATTCGTGTCAGCTGGATGAGGAAGGGGGAAGGAAGGAGAAGACCGTGGGTACAATTATAATGATATTAGTATTGAAGGTGGAAGAAGAGGAGGTGGAGAAAACATATAGTAATGATACAGTACGCAAGGAGACATCGCGAGGTATTCCCTACATTGACTGGTTTCTCCTCTAATTCTTTTTTTCTCTACTTGTGTAGGGACAGAAGAACAGCGTATGGAGGAGGATCAGTTGAAGGGAAGAACGAGTGGCTACTCTGAGGGGACGAGGGGGTTATATAACATCCAATGACCGGAAAGAAGGGCTGAGAAGCGTCGATACTCGCACCACCCAAATGACAACAGTAAAGAAAACCCTACAATGATCTACCATCGATATCGTCCTAACACAGCATCTCTCTCTCTCTCTCTCTCTCTTTCTCTGCCACTCGTGTCTTTGTGTGCATAGTGATATGTGTCATTTGTCATAAGGTGAATTAGAGAGAATCCTTTTGGTCAGCGGTCACGCAGTGTTTTGCGCAAGACAAAAGATGCTTCCGGAAAATACGACTGTTGCTTCCACCTCAGTTTTGGATGACTAAGTTCCACAGGTAGCTTCAACAAAGTACTTCTTTGGCCAATGGAATGAAGAGGTAATGATGGTCACCCCACACGGCCAAAGAGAAGAGACGCACACTGGCTGCACATCCACCATCCAAAACACCAGACTGCCTCATACAACACATACTACGTAGAAGAAGAACATGTTGAGAAGACAGAATATTTCTTGCTGGGCACTTGTCATTTATTCGTGGGTGATCTGATCCAACACCAACTAATGAACCTGGGTGATCATGAACAGCAGATTAAGTGGTTAATCGACTATGTTTTCTTTCGACAAAGGACCTGTGTAGTTCCACCAACGCACTTCTCATCAATGCTCATCCAAACGAGACAACCTTGTGAGGAGGATCAGATGCAGCAGTGCTTGAGGTTTTACCACGATCACAAACCCTTGTCATTTGAAGTAGATCATTCCTCTTTAATAATCTTTTCATGAGCATCACCATAAAGAAGAGGAGGCTCTCCTTCCAACCACGCAAAAGGTTAAAAGGTGAAGGAGAGTCACGGGTCATGTAGGATATCTTAATTGCAGCAACATATAATTTATGCTTTCACACATCAGGCTGGAAATTCTAGTTCTTCCCATGAGCGATGGAATTGTGATCATGGACTCATGTGACCCTTTTGGCTTGCCTCTTTCGCTTCTCTTTTGACAGCTTGTCGTGGATGCAACTGGCCCATCCGTGATCTGCCTCATTAGTTGACCTCGGTTTGTCACTAGTGTATACAACAAGTACACCATCTGCATGGCTACAGGACACACACCAAATAAAAATATGGATTCGACATTCACGTCACCTTCTGCGTACACCATTTGTATTTTTGTTCGGGTGAGGAACTCGTTTGACATTCCACGAGGAACTATTTCTGGATGCTCTTCCTGCTGTCCCACTTACTGATGACCTAAATCGTCACTGCTTACTTACCCCTCGTAGGGTTGCAGGTCCCTCGAACAGTTATACTGCACTGTCAATGGCCCTGGCACATTAAATGCCATCATATATCGGCTAGCTTTCTAATGCAAGAACAACATTAAACTGCAACGCATGCACAACAAGAACTTTTGAGGACAAGAAGAAGCCTTCAGAATGAATCTATATGACCAGTAGGATACAGATCACATATTAAGATTTCATCTCGATTGACAGCTTCTTAAGTGATGCCAACAATAATAAATAAACAACATGCATCAGCTACAAAACAATTCAAACATTCCATGAAGAAGAAGCTGTTAATAATTCATGTCATGTGAGCAGATCAACGAAGACTCTACATGTCAATCTGGATCCACAGTGCACCAGAAGCAATCCTTTTATGCGCATGAGCCATTTGCAGCTACCTTAGTTACCTCTTAATCTACCTTCAAGCAGACAGTAATGTCTCCACAAACTATCAAGAAATCAACTGAAAAAAAGAGGAAAAGCAATCATGAAGATTTTTCCTTTGAACCGGAGAATTTCGAGAAAATAATTTACTTGACTTCAGCTCATCATCTGCTATATATCATATGCTGATGATACGTATCTTGCCAACAATTCTAGTCCTGAGGCTCTCTTAAAATTAAACCCTTCACATTCTCTTTCCATGACCTACCTCGAATCATTGTGTACGTGAAGGGTAGGTTGGTTAGGTTACATGGGAATAGGAGGATCAAAATAATTGGAACATGATGACTATATACTTTTTGGGCAGCATTTAAACATAAATTTGGAAGACCTGTAAAGGCATTTTCGGGGGGCAAACTTTGAGCTTCATGAACTTCTTGTGTTCGAGATAGAAAGTGATCCATGCACCCATGTTCTTTGATGGTGACTTCAACTAGTTCGAATTGATTCACGCCTTCGTTCGATGACCAAATTAACCTAGCTAATTGGCCGGTGTAATGTTTCATCTCTGGATGAGCAATCTACTAGAACATGACAAGTATATCAACATTTGCAGGCCAATAAGATTAAAATGTGGCCTATGAAATATTAATTTCTGATGAGCAGATACAAGAATGTTCGATTGATCAAATCCTTTGAATCATATTTCCCAATTCCTATCAGATTTGTGGCAATTTTATGTAGCCATTACAATCTCAAAGTGAACATAAGATTCGACTGTTTTGACTGGGTATAATTTTGTACAGTGATAATACATATTACCATGAACACAAAAGAAAAAAATAATATTTGATTTTTAAGTAAATTAATTAAAGTTTTTATAGTATTATTAATACAGTCCTTCTGAAAAGCAAATAGACTTTGAGATCAATCAATTTATCTTGTTCTTAAACAGGTAGTAAACTAAATGTTAGTTTAATGTTGCGTATGTGGCATACATAATAACACTTTTAATTGCACTTGACAAGGATTAATCGATCAAAGACTTGGTCTCATGCCTATGACTTCCCATCTAACGATGGAATCATTCCTTCCTCGAAGAAGAAGAAGAAGAAGGAGAATAAGATGCTGATGATAATGATCAAACCTACGTAGTTATTACTCTCATTTTTGGTAAGCAAGATTAAAGTAAGAGAGAGACTGGTCAAGCTTTGACAACTCATTGTTCCTTGGTTGCATTTGGAAATTGTAGTCCACATGATAATTATTTTCATGACAAACATATTTCCCTGATCTAATACGAAATAAGATTTGATAAACATAAGAGTCAACAATTCTGATCCATTGACTTGAGTGACTGTGACTGCTCACCTGACAATAGCAGAATATTTGACACAAGCTTTTCGTAACTTGCCTAATTGAAGTGCAGAAAACTAGTCAAATGGTTGGGAGACGCCACTTATGTGCTTTTGTTTGTTCATTTGCAAAAGAAGTAGACATCGATCTCTGCATGAAATAATATAAAGTAAATGTGGAATGGTGTTGAATATAGACACTTGATCTTAATCTTTTTTTTTTTCAGTAATTTCTCAAGAAATATTCAAGTGAGAACCCAATGTTTAAAGGTGTCATTTTTCATTTTACAAAGAGTTAGTAAACATATTTTGGTTCAATTTATTCTATTCACCTCTGGATATTCTAATACTTTGCCACTATATTATGACCCATCATTGATAGGAGCAATTCATGTCATGACCCCCCCAAACATCTTAGTCATCTATAAACTTGGGATGATTGATGATGACATGAGCACTTACATAGAAAATAATTTGGGACAAAGATATACTAATATAGAAACTAGATCTAATAGCACTTTGTACATCAAAAAGTGATTATGCAAATCTAATAAAAAAATCTAATATATAATAAACAGAAATATATCAAAAAGTTCTTTACTTGGCAAAAATGATCTTTTTCGATTAGTCCGTCTTCTTTTTTATAGGCCCTTATAACGACTTGGTGACAGATAGGCGTGTCATGCATCTTAAGCAATTCCAAGTCTCATCCCTTCATGATTTATTCATTTTTCTTATGAACATAGGTGACTTGCTAAAGCTTCGGAGGCCAAAGTTTGAATGAGTCTTCTATCTCTGAACACAAAACATAGACTTCTTTGTTTAAGTGTTACATGGTCCACCAGGATTCCTAATCAAAATGGCTACTGTTGTCACACAAGTCACAGGTAGCTCACAGTATGGGAACCATGAACAAACAGTGGCATTTCTTTAGTCACTTCTATATTCTCCTTTAGGGTACAAACAAAGAAGGCAGAATACTTGGGAGAAGGTGCTGAGCATAAAAGAAAGATAGAATGGTTGGCAACACAAAGGGAGAAGGAAGGTTTGTCTGTAATTAAAGCATATTATTCCACGGACGTCCTCCCCTCCTCATCGTTCTCCCCATCCTCCAAACACTTACCTTCTGCGTCCCGTCTCGATCGCAACAACTGGATTGGCCCTTCTTCCCATGCTATTATTTTAGGGTTACGTTGTCAGCCATGGATGGATATAGCGATGGAAGAGAAGGCCTCGGGAGGAGACGAGGTCAACCGTAGAGGGGAATCATTTAGAGGATTAGGTGACAGGCTACATGACACCTTGAGAACGTACACTACTAATCTTCTCTATCTACTCGGAAATAGAGCTCCAAAGTGTACATCCAGCGCTGCACTTGCAGCTTGCTTAGTATCATGATGAGGTAAGCAATGCATGGAGTAGTACTTAGTACATAGTTCTTCTTTCATCAAAGTGTTTGATGGAGAGACTCTCGTGGCATCATCGGCGTGGGTTTGTGGTTTCCCTAATGATACTCTTCTCCCAGAAGACAAAAGAAAATGCCCGCAAAAGAAGGGCTTCGTCGTGATCTCGTCCGGACGTCTGCATGGAGTTGACACGAGCCATTTCTTTATCGGAGTAGGAGAATCTGATGCGAGAATATTATTTCTAAAACGTTTGTATTATTTCCATGCATGGAGACGTCACCTCATGCCCACACCCTCGTGAAGACGACGACTGCACAACAGCAGTCAAAAGAACGTAGAAACTATATACGTAGCCATTGCGTGTACGTATATACAATAATGTGGACAAATGCCCATCGTATACAGATCAAAAAGATTTATGAGCAACCACAACTAATCTACAAGTACTTTTGGTGATGAAGAAACAGTAATCTTTGCACAAGTTGCTGTACGTGAGGTCGATTTCCTGCATAATATTCTTTGTGATGATCATCTTTGCAAGGCTGAAAAGGATTAAAATTAAGCAACCTAATTTGAAGAGGAAGTAGAGTTTGAGTTACTACAGCAAGAAGTATGTATAGGTGTATGCATACGTATATGCATATGCATTGATCAAAGTAATACACTAGTGTAGTTGAAATCGACTGGAAAGAATGCCACAGTTGAAATGGAAAGAATGTGGATACTGAAAAGGATCGCAGGCAGATCTGAAGGAGAAGAGTCGGATGTCTTAGATTACCATTTCTTGTGCTGCATCTCCTCAGAACCGGAGTCAGAGGACTGGTAGTTTCTATATGAGTTGCGTCTGTCCGCTCATGTGCTGCTTGTTTGGATGGTGGTGTTCACAGCTCTCTTGCCTTGGCTAAAGACCCGCCGCAAACGCAGGCATTCTCGTGGACAACAGATCGCTGTCTCACATGCCTTTCCCTCGACATCTATCTCTGTGCAACCATGCATCCATGCACTGTAAGAGTTCTTGCCAATGCATAGCACAAATGCCCATCCCAATGGCACCTACTTGGCTGTGCATGAAACAAAGAGGAAGCTGCACGCCCTGTTTTTATCACACGTCTCCAAAAATGCTTCATTTGGAACCTTTGTCTTCAAGCTTGGGTTATGATGTTGATACAGGATGGTTGTTGTTTGAGCTTTTCTCTTATGAGAAAGGATAATTTACTCCAGTTTATACAAAGGAATAAATTATATCAATGATCTATGTAGAATCCAAACTAAACAAAACCAAAAGACTTGATCCAATATAATATAGACATCTCTAATATACCTCCAAACTAGAGTGGTACTTTTGTCAATTCAAGATTCCAGTGTGATTCTTATTTGTCATGTAGGCCAGACTAGATATATAGAGAAAGCAACCTTGAGAAGATCACTATGCTGACACACCCACATACACTAAGCATGTGTGATGACAAAAATATTAATAAGAAAAACAAAAGCAGGCAGCGTTGGATAATTTTATCTGTTGCTTAACAATCAAATCTGATTTATATAATCCTAGCAAGTACTAAAATTTTCCCTATATTGTTTCATATACATTATAT